GAATAAAAATTTGGTAAGAAATTTATGACGACTGTAGCTGCTTTATTATTAATAATACTTGCATCTTCTCTCCATTAGAGATATGTTTAACTGTAAAATATTTTTTGCTATCCTAACAAGTTGCAGCATATCCTGATCTGAGTGCAATTACTTTATTCTTTGGTATATTTATGATGGTGATGGATGTAAGAATTGAATGGGTCAAACAAGGTAACCGTACATTTCAGGTGGAGCTTGTTATCTAGCACAGTTTTTAGGCTAATAACTTCTGCACAAACTATAGTAACAAAACAGGACTAAATCTGCAGAGAATCAACTTCTCAATCACTGCACAGTATTTCTAAGCCCCATTTAGAAGCCATTCTTAATTCTCAATGATTTCTCAAACATCTGCCTGAATTATTGCAAGCATGGCAGATTCTGTTTGGGGGGAATCATTGATACATATAAACCAAGAGGAAAGACTGGGAAGTAAATTTCAATTCATGTGGTAATTGCCAGGTGAAGCATAGATTTGCTTTTATTACCCTTTGCATTTTTTTTTTTTATGTCTACTGTTATAGTGTTATGCATTTTCTTCGAAGTCCAACTGGTGAAGTTATTTTGTTCTTTGTTATTTGAAATTCAAGGGTTTGAAATGAGACCACATTCAAAGCATTCAAAACAAGCAAGAGGCAATGCCACCAGTCCAAAGTTCTGAAAATAAAGAACTAATTAACGGTTTGTAATCTCTTCAATGATTTTTGTTTTGATTTTGAGAGGCACAGTTTTCCATATTGTTTCATATTATTGGAGATTTATGATGTAGGTACAAAATGGGGAAGAGGAAGATGCAAGTCATATGAAGGTACATGCTTTATTAGTTAACTATATGAATCTGTTTATCATTGATTTTAATCTTGTTTATAGCTATCTTTTTTGCCTTTTTTTCTGATTAATTCAAGCAATTGGAGGCTAGTATACATGGCCCTGCTATCTTAGTTGATTTCATTTTGCCTGTTTTAGATTGTAAATAAGCTAGGTCGTAAGAATTGCACTCTTTAATTGTTTGGTCTTTCAATCAATGTAGGCCTCCTGCAGAGCTAAGAAGTCCACTGCTTCTGAGAAGCAAAGCAAGAAACAAGACAAGCGGGTGTAGCACCCTTAAGCATAGAAGAATCTTTCCTTTGGTTGCCAGCACCATGCAAGCAGCAGAATCAGGGAACCCTTTCATGGGGAGACATCAAACTCATGGCACCTTTGAACACTGAACACTCAGAAATACAAGCAGGAAAAGCAAGGCAATATCTTATCGTTCTTGGAAAGAGTTGACTTGGACAGAATGAAGTTCCTGCTTCTTCCTAGCCATCATTCTTAACTGGATTACATTCTTTCTTTTGGTTGGACAATATTTCTAATTCATTTTCATCTACAATTTATGTGTTTTAATGGGAAATCCAAACTCCAAAGTAGGCTACTTACCTCTGGATTTTCACCTTCCTTTGCTAGGATGTTGTTTGAAAGAGCTTTTGTAAATAACCTCCTTTATGAATATGCAAGAGATTTCAGAGACAACAAGAGAGATATAATATACATATCTATGTTCAATCTCACACAAGCGATCTTCAACCATCTTTTATCATGTTGGTTGGCTCCCTCAAAACATACTTTGCAAGTTGGTATTTTTCACCTCCAAAGGGTGAGTTGTAAGGCTTCTTGGAAGGAATTTCAATTTGTGCAGTCAAGCATAATTGATGCAGTAAGGTATAGCTAGTTATCTCTTTCATCAATTATGCAGTTAGCATAATTGATGCAGTAAGGTATGCACCGTCAACAATTGATGACAGACAAAAAAAAAATCCAAAAAAAAAAGGAAAAAAGATCAGCCTAAACTTGGCTTTAGGTGTGACTGCACCATTCATATTATCATTCATATTCTAACAGATACTGACAACTGAGAATTCCAACCAAATTACAGCAAATGGATATAGCCAAAAGGCATGCTAAATGACAATAGAAAAAAGTAGATAATTTTTGGGCTGATGATTGATGAATAATAATATATATGGTAAGAAATTTGTGATTGTAGTTATTGGTTGATTGTCATGATCTACATGGCAACGCTGATGGGTAAAACATGTATTAATGGTAAATTTGGTGTATATTTAAGTGAAAAATGATGCTAAATTATGATACAATTGAAGCAAAAAGGACTCACAATGTCAAAATCGTTCGATTTGATGGTAAATGGAGTATGTTGTAAGAGTAATACTCATGATCATAGATCCAAAAGCTACGGTGACAATGTGGCAGGAGGACATTGTTTCCAGCTGTGATGTGCCCCGAGGTGATCTTAATCTCTCTCTTTAATTGAATTTTAAGGGAGACCAGAACTATGTGTGGATTTAAGTTTTTTATTTTAGAATGTTATAGTTATGATATTATATAAAATTATAAATTTATAATAATTATATAATATTAAATAAATATATTGTAATATTAAAAAAAGTATAGAATATTATTTATGAATTTTTAAATAAAAAGTGTTGATTATATAATATTGTAAGTTTAATTAATTAGAGCATTTTTATTTTTTTTATACTTTAAGACACAAATTTTAAGTAGAAATCTTTCAAGAGATACTGATAAGATTTTTTTATAGGGTAATGATATTGAGAAATTTTTTTTTATTTATATAATATTTTTATACTTTTTTCATATGTAATTAACTAAGTGGATCAATATAATTTTATCTGATTTTAAATGAATTACAAAAATTAATTATTTAAAAAAATATAAAATTGTACCAAAAAATTATAAAAAAATTATTTATACATCATTTTCCTTTTTATTTTAAGAAAAATAAATATTTGTTCTTCATTTAATCTCCCCAAATATTAATCCGTAAATATCAATGACCTCTAATTGGTAATTTAGGTAATAAACAATTATAGAAGATTTGAATACGGCAAAAATTTTTGTTTTTAATATATAAATTGTTCATTCACTAAATTTATTTTCAAATCAGCTCAAAAAAAATTATTTTCAAATAAGTCAAATCCCCTTCGTACGAATAAATAAATTGATGTTATAGTTAAGATTGCCTTAGTACAAAACCTTTATCTTTTTTTTTTTTTTCTTTTGAGCAAGGTGTCATGAGTCAGGTTTCGAACCTGCCAAAAAAAAAAAAAAGGAGGATGCACCTCAAGGTGGTCTAAAACCACAGGTGCACAAAACCTTTATCTTTTAAGTTTAAAATCAAAATGTTATTCAATATTCTGATACAGAAAGGTACCGTAGAATGCAATTTGGTAGATGGAAGGCATATTTGTATACAGTATCTGTTAGAAATCCCTTAAAATTTGGAATATATTAGTATACAATTATAACTTTTCTATACTCTAAACACTAAGCTTTAGCTATGTTATGATTTTGATATGATTCTGATTTGGTTCTTTTGTTGTTTTTTGGGAAATGATTTTGGAACAATTTTTTTGTTTTACTTTTTTTTTGTATAATTTGATGTGTTATTTATATAATTAATTTTTTTTATTCATATGAGTCATGATATTAAATGCATCTACTGATTTTATAATATATGAAAGTTATATTAAAATGTGGTATAAAAAAATTATCTATATAATACATTTTTGTTTTTCATTTTGGTGGACGAAACTGTCCTTGAAATTACGTGTGGGCCTTACAGGAAAACTACCTAACCCCACCGACATCCGTCACGAAATTGGAGTCGTTCGATCTTGTTCACGGAGAACAGGTGACGCAACAATGGGGTGTGTTGGAGGAATAATACTCAGGACCGTAGATCCAAATGCAACGACGACGACGTGGCAAGAGGACATTCGTTCCAACTGTGATGTTCGCTTGAGCTGATCTTAATCTCGCCCTTTAATTGCGTTTTAAGGGAAATAAGATTGGTGTGGTAGGAAATTCTGATTTTACTTGGGGTAGGATTAATGTAAGTATCTTATGTGGAATTTGGATTAATACAACACACTTATCCTTTGTCCCAAGAAGAGAATTCATTCTTATGTGCATAACTCAACCTGAATATTCAAGTTTTTTTCACTGAAACTTTTATTTCATAAAAAATTTAAGGGTTAGGACAAAGTGTTCAAAAAAAAAAAAAAATCTAAACATTGATAATCTTGCAAAGAATTAAACCTTTATGATAGAAAAAAAAATTAGAAAACAATATCTTAACCTGTCTAAAATTGGCTTTACAGTCAAAGATGTGATAGCATTATTCATGCTATCATTTCATATTTTAACAGTGAAAGACAATTGAAAATTTCAACCAAACTACAGCATATAGAAATAGCAAAAAAGAATGCTAAATGACAATGGAAAGAAGTAGAAAATTTTTCGACTGATAATTGATGAATAAAAATTTGGTAAGAAATATATGACGACTGTAGCTGTTTATTATTAATAATCTTGCATCTTCTCTCCGTTAGAGATATGTATAACTGTAAAATATTTTTTGCTATCCTAGCAAGCTGTAGCAGATCCTGATCTGAGTGCAATTACTTTATTCTTCGGTATATATATGATGGTGATGGATGTAAGAATTGGATGGGTCAAACAAGGTAGCTGTGCATTTCAGGTGGAGCTTGTTATCTAGCCCTATTTTTAGGCTATTACCTTCTGCACAAACTATAGTAACAAAACAGGACTAAATCTACAGAGAATCAACTTCTCAATCACTGCACAGTATTTCTAAGCCCCATTTAGATGCAATTCTTAATTCTCAATGATTTCTCTAACATCTGCCTGAATTATTGCAAGCATGGCAGATTCTGATTGGAAGGAAGCATTGATACATATAAACCAAGAGGAAGGACTGGGAAGTAAATTTAAATTCAGATGGTAATTGCCAGGTGAAGCATAGATTTGATTTTATTACCCTTTGCATTTTATTTTTCTTTTGTCTACTGTTATAGTGTTATGCATTTTCTCACAAGTCCAACCGATGAAGTTATTTTGTTCATTGTTATTTGGAATTCAAGGATTTGAAATGAGATTACCTTCAAAGCATTCAAAACAAGCAAGAGGCAATGACATCAGTTCAAAGTTCTGAAAATAAAGAATTAATTAATGGTATGTAATATTTTTGATGATTTTTGTTTTGATTTGATAGGCACAATTTTCCTTATTGTTTCATATTATTGGAGATTTATGATGTAGGTACAAAATGGGGAAGAGGAAGATGCAAGTCATATGAAGGTACATGCTTTGTTAGTTAACTCAAGTCGCTGACTTGACCTTCCATATTCTACTAGCTGTTTTTGGGCGCAAGAGGTTTTAACATGTGTTCAATGTTTGCAAAATGCAGAATTCATCATATGGACTGTTGAGTGTTGACAAGAATTTTGTTTAGGAAGCAGAATCTTTGCTGCTGAAAAATAAGGTGAGTTACCATGTCTTAAATATATACTGGTCAATTGATTAAATTTCTTCTAGATTCTGTGTTCTAACTTACCTGAAACATGAATGATTTGGGGACAATAATTAATATATTAACCTCTGCAGATCAAGTGATTTGCTTCACAACCCTTCTGGCTTCTCAGCAAGATGTGCCTACTTCTTTAGTCTCAATGTAAAGAGTTGAACTGCTTGTACTTCCATCTCAATATATATCTTTCATTGCTGATAAAAGAAAATTACATGAACTAGGTGGAGAACTATATATAATTTAAGTCTTCAAACAATTATATAATATTGGCAGCTAACTATGACTGGGTTTGGATTGTGTAGAAGTGAGAGTCACATTAGAGTAAGCTTGGAGGGATTAAATAAATAAATAGAATTAAATTATCAAAACTTCAAAAATTTCTTTGTGAAGATATGTACTTACCTTGACCAAAAGCAATGCCACCCTTTATATATTCTCTCACAAACGTAAAGCCTTCTATTAATTAAGGCTTCATTTGGAAATGTTCCACAGTTGCTTTAACTTTATTTTTTTTTTATCCTAAAAATATAAAATATTAATCAAAATAAATATTAAATATATTAAATGAGTTAATTAGTATCTACCTACACATAAATTTTATACATTATACTTATATACAATTTTGATATTTATTTTTCTATTTTTAATTATTGAAATTTATTGAATTTTTGTTTTATTTATTAAATATAATTATTTTTTAATTTAAAAAATCATAATAAATTTCATGACTTTTTTTATAGTATTAAAAGATTAAATATATTAAAAGATTAAAAAAACCTACAACTATAGTTGTAAGGTAGCACTCAAACTAAATCTAAGTACTTCCTCTTTTCAGTAATCCTCTGTTTTTTTTTTTTTTTCCTTTTTATCATTTAAATCTTATACCTAACTTCCTTTTTATAAAAGAATGATGCTACCCGCCGGAACACTCTTTTTGACAAATTCTTTGCG